CATCTCAAGGGATCGCTTCACATGAAATGCCATGAGACTCTGGGGGGGCCCTTGCGGTCCAGATCCTTGCGGTGCTTTTGAGAGATCAGAACCGTAAGGGGATTCCAGAGTCAACCATCGTTGTGCCGGAGTGTGACTGTCAGTGTTCTTGCGAAGCCCCTGAAGTCAGCCCTCGGTTTCTCGGCATTGCCTGTGTTGGTACGCTGGTGGTGTTTGGAACTGGTCTGTTATTAGGTATCCGCTTCTCCAGAGCGGTGGTGCCGGGAGATGGCAGATCTGAGTTTGGAGGGGGTCGGCGACGTGGAGGAGGAGTGCTATCGCAATCTGACTAGTGGCAGTAGAGTTTTGCTTTGGTATAGTGATGACCATGTTTGGCATGAAGCCCTCATCGGACTAGTGCTGGGTGGGGAGCAGGTGGTGATGTATACACCAGACAAAGACCTGTATATTGAGAGCATAGGTTGCAAGGGGCTTGAAGGTCCAATCAGATTGAGAGGCCTCAAGCCAGACCTTGGACTGCCCAGTAGGCTCCGAGCTCCGGCTTACCGTTTCCGAGAGATCATCTCAGACACCTTGATCAAGCAGGTTTTTCGTGACAGCGTGAAGTTGGCTGAAAGAGAGGCAGGGTGCAGTGTGGCCTTGCCGACTCACATAGTGAACCATGCTGGACAGCGGAAGACACTGGAAGAGTTTTTTGGTGGAAGCTTTGTGAGGAGCCGACAGCCAACCCCAATTGGCAAGCTCGACAAGTCAAGTGACTCCCCAAAGAATGCCGTGAAGGTACAGCCTGCCCTGGGTGACTTTGTTTGGCTGGCAGCAGAACCTCTTGGAGGATTGATTCTCGGTCAGGAGGTGAGCTTGAATAATGAGACAGACGTGCAGGTAGGCACCAGCTGTGCCTTAGCTCTGAGAAAAGGAGTTTGGGTGAAAGTTGACATGGTGAAGCTCTCTGAAGTTGAGGGCTATGCAGACAGGAGGAGAGCTTTGTTTGGTGTTTCCTCAGCCGCTGGTTCTGGCGAGTGCCCACAACCTGGGAAGGGAGGTGGGGACGATGAAGCTGGTGGAGAGACTGCAGGTTCAAATGACGTCCGCACTCTTTGGGTAGACTTTGATGAGCATGGTGACCGGTACAAGAGGTGGAGGGATGTCTGCAAGGAGAGCTACACACCGTCTTTTGACCAAACTCCCCTCGAAGGGCCAACGACTGGTCTTCACTTGATCAAGCATGCAGAGCGACATGGTGGGGACCCTCGTTTGTGGATGCAACTCTGGTGTCGCAGCAAACACATTGAGACCACTGACAGGACTTTTCATGAGATGAAAGTTTTGGTGGATGCATTGTTTTTTGCAGGCACTTTTGACCAGGTCAACATTCCAGCCCTCATGTCCATGGAGGTGGTGTGTCGCCGCATTCAGGCGATTGTTGATGCTTACAGCAATCCCAGCCGTCCTTCATGGGAGAACGCAAAGATTTTTGCAGGGCAAGGCACTCCAGAGGACATTGTATCGCCAACGTTCCGGAACTATGCCACTCGCAAGAACAAGGAGGAGCTGGAATTGTTGCAAGCTCGCCAAAAGGTGAGGGAGCTCAGAGGGGCTCCTGCCATTGCCCAGGAAGAAGGAGATGCAGCAGAGTCACTGCCCACAAAGCCAGTCCCCAAACCCAATCCGAAACGGAAGGGTGGCAAGGGAGGGCAGGGGCAGACTGATGGTTGAGGATTCACGGCAGGTGACATTGGAGCCTTCGGAGATGTTGCCTGATGACCAGTACAGACAGGAGGCAATGACACAGCCGGGTGCAGCGGCGGCCTTCAGCTTCAAGCAACGACGGCTTTTTCCTCTGCCCCTTTTTGCATGCCCCCCACGAAAGTTGGGGACGAGTCGTTCTGTCCGCCAACGACGGGACCGAATTTGTCGAGCCTTTGACAACTGCAACGAAGTAGTCAGAGCGCTGAATTGGCTAGCTGGAGAGTCTGAACCACAGTCATCAGATTTTACAGTTAGTGCAATGCAGCAGCAGGTTCTCTCGCGTGTGGAAGGTTTGGTTTTTAGCCAAAAGCCCAGTGGCGACGAGATCATGAAACCGGAGGAAGCCTTGAAAGTGCTTCTCCGTGGTGGCTCCCCCTATGACATGGGCGTCATCAATGATGCAGTGGCCTCCTACCAATCTGAGCTTGTCAGTGTTCCGCAGGACTGTCGAGGTTGTCCTGACCTTCGTGATGTCTTGCCTACTGATGACCGTCAGTACCTGGAGGAGAATTCAGAGCTGATGTTGCGGCCAAAGGAGGATAGACCTGAGCATCCTGTTCAACCTTACTGGGACCCAAAGCTGCGCTACAACCGGAAAGCGTATCATGGTCTTGTTAGAAAGTTGAACGATATTGGGTACTTCACGTACACCTTGGCACCTTTGAGCAAAGTTGGAGTGTTCTTTGTCTGGAAATCAAACCGAACGAAGCTGCGCTTGATTACAGACTGCAGACCAACAAATGAGATCTTTAGAGAAGCTCCGGGTGTTTCTTTGACAACAGCCGAAGGTTTTGGTCGGATAGAAGTTGAGCTTGAAGATGACTGCTGGGGGGATTACAAACTTCTTTCAGCCGTCACAACATATGTTGGGCTCAGCGACGTCCGCGACTGCTTTCACCGGATGCGAGTGCCTGCGTGGCTGAGCAGGTATTTCGCTTGGGAATCCGTTCCTGCTAGCGTTCTGAAACTGGAAGGTACAACTCTTGAAGGAAAGCTATTGGGGCCGCGTGATGCAGTCTTCCCTTGCGCTGGCAGTCTGTGCCAGGGTTTCTCTTGGTCTTTGTATTTCGCACAGAGGGCCAACGAAAATGTGTGCAGATCCGTTGACACCTTACAGCAAGCAGTTCTGACACAGGACAGAGGTGGGCCAGTTGTTTTGCGGTTGGGTAAGGAGCAAGCAGACAATACACATTTTTATGTTTACGTTGACAATCTTGGGGTGCTTGACACTGATGCAGCTAATGTGGAACTAGCTATGCAAGGGCTGCAACAGCATTTCAACTCTCTTGGCTTGGAGCTTCATGCAAGTGAAGTGAGCTGTGGTGCAATTGAATCGCTGGGCTGCATACTGGATGGAAGCAACCTGAAAAGTGCTGTCAACCCAAAAAGACTCTGGAAGGTGCATCAAGCTTTGACGGGCTTGCTTGGGCGTGGACGCTGCTCTGGCCAGGCGCTTGAAAAAGTTGTGGGACATTGCACCTTCTGCTCTCTCATGAACCGCAGAACGTTGGTCTGTTTCAGTGCTTGCTATGCTTTTATACATGCTCGGTACAATGAGGTTGCCACTCTCTGGCCTTCTGTTCGAAAAGAGTTGGAGGCTTTCAGAGGTTGTCTGTTTTTGCTTAGTCAAGACTGGTGGCGACAGTGGAACAGAAATGTGACCAGCAGCGACTCCTCCTTAGGAGGCTTTGGATGCTGTCACGCTTGGTGGCCGAAGACAGTGGTCGCCAAGGTTGGGCGAGTTCAAGAACGGTCTCGGTTCAAGAGATCAGCCGGGCATAGTGCTCGAGAAAGTGCTCTGACGGCAGCCGGGTTTCACTATGATGGAGCAGCCTGGGGTCGAGTAGACCATGTGACTGCAAAAAGACTCTGCGAACTTGGATGGGAAGTCGACTCTTCTTTTGAAGAAGTTCCTGCTCGTTTTTTGGGTCGCAGTTTTTGGACTCCTCGATTCTGGGGGAAATGGAAGCATGCTGAGCCGATTGGTGTTTTAGAAGCTAGAACTGTTTTGAAATGCATCAAACGGCTGGCGCTCACTCGATTCGGTCATGATTTGCGACACCTGCATCTATGTGACAACTTAGGAGTAGTCTTGTGTTTCGAGCGAAGTAGATCCAAGAGTTTTAAGCTTCTTAGGATCCTCCGTGAGTTCTCTGCATATTGTTTAGCTAGGAACATCCATGTAGCTGTACGTGGGATACCCAGTGAGTTGAACATTTCAGATGAGCCTTCTCGGATTCACGATGAAAACTCGTCGAAGCTGTTGGTTGACCTCCTGGATGATTTTGTTGAACCGATTTTTTCCCCTCGAGCACCCCTCGCACAGCAAAATGGGGCCGAAGAGGACTCGGTCTCTCACCTCAGACAGCAGCCATGTGACAAACAAACACACACAGCTGCAGCGGAAAAGGACGAGGACGTTGAGCTTGGGGAGAGATGCTCTAGAGGCCACACCGACAGACAAGAAAAGAGTGAGGTGCCTAGACATGGAAACTTTTTGGCAGAACAGGTTGAAGGAGAAGAAGGTGAAGGGTTTGACACTGCCCCTCACCGAATCAGCCTTGCAGAAACTGTCAAGTCTGGAACCTCGCCGGCAACGAGAAGACAAGGAGGAGCTCGAGACAGAGACTTCGAGCACTATGTCAGAGCTCAAGGAAGAGCCAAAAGGAAAGAAGAAGCGTTCTTTAGAAAAGCGGCCAAGAAAGCCGCTGCAGCACTTGGTGGATGCCCAACTTGGAACCGGAATGAGTTTTTTGGAAGCGGCGGCAATCACCAAGAGAGTCAGAGAGAGATACAACAGAAGCCTGTCAGCTCTCATGACCTTTCTGCAGTCGAACGGCTTCAACTTTTCAGTGGATCAGCAGGTGGATACAGGCCTGGTGAAATACTTCGAGATGAAGAAGTTCACGGAAGGAGAAGGAAGTCATGTGGGAGACTATGCTTTGGCGGCGCTCTTGGATCGCCACCCGGAGTTTGGAAAGAATGGCTTCCGCAAGATCCCTCATGCATGGAGAGCTCTGAAAGGTTGGAGGAAACTATGCCCATCGAGGTCTCGATTGGCATACCCTCTGCCCTTGTGGTGCGGCATCGCATGGAGAATGATTGCTCGTGGACACCTGCAGAAGGGAGTGTTCAACCTCCTGCAACTGTCTACGTACCACAGGCCCAGCACCCTCTTGAAGTTGAAGAAGATGGGACTCGTGCCTCCGACGTCTGGAGTCACGGGAACATGGAGCATCCTCACTTCGTTGACAGAGACTTCAGACATATCAAAGACTGGGACGAAAGACGATGCGGTGCTTCTGGATTCACCTTTTCTGGACTTCATAGAGCCGGTGCTGCGACGTCTAGCCAAGGGACCTCCTTTGGCTCCTGTCTGGACTTTCACGTACCCGGAATACCTGGAAGTGTTCAATCAATGCGCCAAGGACTTGAAGGTCGAAGTTGTTCCGTACCAAGCCAGACATTCGGGACCAAGCATAGACTATGCTGCGAAACTGAGGACTCTCGAGGAGATTCGCAAGCGCGGAAACTGGGCAAGCCGGAAGAGTGTGACTTGGTACGAGAAGGGAGGGAGGCTGGCAGCAAGTTGGAACCTCCTATCCCCTTCAACCCAGATGGCTTGCAGGTCGGCAGAGCGTTTTTTGCGAGAAATCGTACTCGGCCTCGATTACCCCCACATTCCACTCCCAAGTGGGGAGTGAAGGGTCAGTATGTGGCAGACTTTTTTGCTGGTTCTGGAAGAGTTGCACGGGCAGTCAGACGTGCTGGCTTCACATGTAGAGAGTGGGAAATCCTCACGGGGCCTGATGCTGATCTCACCCGTCCAGCTGTGCTGCAGAGTGTAAAGTTTGACATCGACAAAGGTCGTATCATTGCAGCTATGCTGGCGCCTCCATGTTCATCCTTCAGTGTGGCACGAGACAGAACCATGGTTATCAGAAGCAAACTTTTTCCTTGGGGCCTCCCTGACCTTCCTCCTCATGAACAAGACAAGATACGTGTTGGTAATTGCTGCATACGGTCTACCCTCAAGATTATTTCATGGCTTGATTCATGGAGACTGCCTTGGATACTTGAGAACCCCTACACCTCAAAAGTGTGGTATTTGCCTCCTCTTCAACAGTTGATGAAGAGCGAACACGTACACGATATTGTTTGTGATTTTTGTATGTTTGGGACACCTTGGAGAAAAAGGACTCGTTTCCTATGTGGAAATATAGATCCTGTTGACTTGGGGCGGATTGACAAGCAATGTGTTGGAACGCATGGATGCTGCTCTCGCACTGGTCGTAGGCATGTGCAGCTCACTGGTTCACACAAATGCGGGATCCCGATGACTCGTCATGCTCAACCATACCCACATCGTCTTTGTCATGGTCTCGCACATGCACTGGTGTCGTCGTACATTGTGATCCCGTCAATGTCATGACTCTGACGCAGGTCAACTATACCAGCAGCAGCAACAGCAGCAGCTTACAAATAACAACAGCACCCCCCCTTTCTTCCCAACCCCTTGTTCACATGGTGTGTTTTTGGATCCGAGTCGTGCTCAGTCACTCCTGGTAAAATTTCCATGATTTGGGACTAACTCAGGTGGTGGCCAAAATGGCTAAGACGAGCCCCTGT